TTTATCAATCCTTTTACCAGTATGTAATGGCCTTCTTTGTCTCTTTTGATCTTTTTTGCTTTAAAGTCTATTTTATCAGAGATGAGAATTGCAACTCCTGCTTTTTTTTGCTCTCCATTTGCTTGGTAAATCTTCCTCCATCCCTTTATTTTGAGCCTTTGTGTATCCTTGCATGTGAGATGGGTTTCCTGGATACAGCACACTGATGGGTTTTGGATTTTTATCCAATTTGCCAGTCTGTGTCTTTTGATTGGTGCATTTAGCCCATTTACATTTAGGGTTAATATTGTTATGTGTGAATTTGATACTGCCATTTTGATGCTAAGTGGCTGTTTTGCCTGTTAGTTGTTGTAGAATCTTCATTATGTTGATGCTCTTTAACTTTTAGTGTGATTTTGGAATGGCTGGTACTGGTTGTTCCTTTCTATTTGTAGTGCCTCTTTTAGGAGCTCTTGTAAAGCTGGCCTGGTGGTGACAAAATCTCTGAGTACTTGCTTGTTCGCAAAGGATTTTATTTTTCCTTCACTTCTGAAGCTCAGTTTGGCTGGATATGAAATTCTGGGTTGAAAGTTATTTTCTTTAAGAATGTTGAATATTGGACCCCACTCTCTTCTGGCTTGTAGTGTTTCTGCCGAGAGATCTGCTGTGAGTCTGATGGGCTTCCCTTTGTGGGTAACTCGACCTTTCTCTCTGGCTGCCCTTAGTATTTTCTCCTTTATTTCAACCTTGTTGAATCTGACGATTATGTGCCTTGGGGTTGCTCTTCTTGCAGAATATCTTTGTGGTGTTCTCTGTATTTCCTGCATTTGAGTGTTGGCCTGTCTTGCTAGGTGGGGGAAGTTTTCCTGGATGATGTCCTGAAGAGTATTTTCCAGCTTGGATTCATTCTTTTCGTCCCCTTCTGGTACACCTATCAAACGTAGATTAGGTCTTTTCACATAGTCCCACATTTCTTGGAGACTTTGTTCATTCCTTTTTGCACTTTTTTCTCTAATCTTGGTTTCTCGTTTTATTTCATTGAGTTGGTCTTCGACTTCAGATATTCTTTCTTCTGCTTGGTCAGTTCGGCTATTGAAACTTGTGCATGCTTCGCGAAGTTCTCGTATTGTGTTTTTCAGCTCCTTTAATTCATTCATATTCCTCTCTAAGTTATCCATTCTTGTTATCATTTCCTCATATCTTTTTTTAAGTTCCTTGGTTTATTTGCATTGATTTAATACATGTTCTTTTAGCTTACAAAAGTTTCTCATTATCCACCTTCTGAAGTCTAATTCCGTCATTTCGTCACAGTCATTCTCCGTCCAGCTTTGCTCCCTTGCTGGTGAGGAGTTTTGGTCCTTTCTAGGAGGCGAGGTGTTCTGGTTTTGGGTGTTTTCCTCCTTTTTTCGCTGGTTTCTTCCCATCTTTATGGGTTTATCTGCTTGTCGTCTGCATAGTTGCTGACTTTTCGATTTGGTCTCTGAGTGGACACCCAGATTGTTGATGATGAAGTATTTCTGTTACTTGGTTTTCCTTCTACCAGCCTAGCCCCTTCGCTGTACGACTGCTTTGGTCCACTCCAGGCCCTGCTTGTCTGGGGTGCACCTCTAGCAGCTGTGGCACAGTGAGGGATGCTACCCGTTTCTTTTTCTGCTATCTTTATCCCAGGATGATGCCTGCCAAATGTCAGTCTTTTGGATATAGAGGGGTCAGGGAGCTGCTTGAGGAGACAGTCTGTACTTTTTTGGAGCTCCATTGCTGAGCTGTGAGCTCTGTTGTTCATTCAGGGCTGTTAGGCTGCTATGTTTGATTCTGTTGCAACAGAGCTCATTAAAAAAAACCCTTTTTTTCTCCAATGCTCTGTGTTGGGGGGTTCGGGCTTTATTTTTTGATGTCCGATGAGGTGTCCTGCCCAGCTAGAAGGCAGACTAGCCACTGTTTGGCTGCCGAGGCTCCGCCCTGCTGTTGTGTGATTCGCCCTGTTCCTGCAGGCTCTGCTGTGGTCTCCGCCACACCCTGCGGCAGAGTCTCTTCATTGTAGCATGTTGCCTCAGCAACGGCAGGCTGCGTCAGCAGTGGGCGTGTATCTCAGTAGGGACAGGTTGCCTCGGCAACGGCTGGCTGCGTCAGCAGTGGGCATGTATCTCAGTTGGGGCGGGTTACCTCGGTAGTGGTGGACGCCCCTCCCCCACAGAGCATCTCGGACCGTCTGCTCAGGATAGTTTGAAATCGCGGTTTTGTTCATCCCACTGGGTGTCCCAAACGATCTGTCCCTGCAATCCCCTGGGCTGGCCTACTGTCTAAGTCTCGTTCAGTCTCAAGTCCAGCCCTCTCAAGTCTCAGGTTGCCGGTTCAACAGGGCACCCAGACAAGCGCGCCCTGTGGGGATTGCTGGGTAGGGCCGGCCGCCGCCGCCCCGGCTGCCGGCTTCGCCAGGCAGACCTACTGCCTGGCGTCCCGTGTCTTTTTTATACTTGGGAGTTTCCCCTTTCTGTGGGCAACAAAGATCAGTCTGGAAATGCAGCTCCGACTCACCGTTTGCGGATTCAACGAGAGCTCCAATCCTGGGTTGTTCTCACAGCGCCATCTTGAGTCCCTATCAGAATATTGTTTTTTTCAATGGCTATGATGCCTTACTGCATATAAAATGCTATTACTCTTTCTTTTTTTTTTTTTTTTGAGACGGAGTCTTGCTCTGTCACCAGGCTGGAGTGCAATGGCGAAATCTCCACTCACTGCTTCCCGGGTTCATGCGATTCTTCTGCCTCAGCCTCCCAAGTAGCTGCAACCACCGGCCCTCTTTTTTCAAATGTGCACATTTGCAACTGTACATTTCCCTTCTATGCGCTGCTTTAACTGCATGCCACACATTTTGGATACATTGTGTTTTTATTTTTATTCATCCCAAATTATGCTTTATTTTGATTTCTTGCTTTACTGTATATTTAAAGTGTGTTGACATATTTGTAAATTTCCCAAATTTCTTTCAGTTGTTGATCTTTAGTTTCATTCCATTATGGTCAGAGAACATATACTGCGTGTTTTCAACGCTTTTCATGTTATTGAGACTTGTTTTATGCTGTAAAATATCATCTCTACTGGAGACTGTTCTGAAGTACTTAAGGTGAGTTTGTATTTTTCTGTTGTAGGGTAGCTATATAGATGTCTATGAGGTTTAGTTTACTTACAGTGTTTTTCAAGTTTTCTGTTTCCTTACTGATATACTGTCTAGTTGTTCTATTAACTATGGAAAGTAGGGTATTGATATATCCAACTATTATTGTTACCTAAGAAAAGAGCTCCAAAATGCATGAAGAGAAACTGACAGACTTGAAGAAGTCTCTTCTCTTAGGTACATGTATGCATATAATTATTATATATTCTTGGTGAATTAACCATTTTTTAATTATAAAATGGCCTTTTTTTACTAATAATTTTTGTTTTAAAATCTATCTCACCACATAGCAGTTGCAGTAACTCCTTCTCTCTTTTTATTATTGTTTGCATAGTGTATTTTTTTCTGTTCTTGACCATTCAATCTATTTATGTCCTTGAATCTAAAGTATGTTTTTTGTAGACAGTGTATAGTTGGTGCATTTAAAAAAATCTTTCTAGCTTGTAGACAGCTGCTATAAAAAAATTAAATAAAATATTTTTGGGGGGGATAATTTATTTAATTTTATGCTTCAAATTCATATATACATAAATCTGTCTTTCAGTTATCAGTATTTAACTGCGTACTACTTCATCTTGATTTATTTGAAGAAACACACCTTAGCCATCTGCTTACCTGCTTAGGCATCAAAAGAGGTGCCAATTAGAAAATAGGGCATTAACAAAATTTTTTAACTGACCCACATGTTTTTTTAACTTGCTATTGGTTTCACTTATATTTAAGCATTTACTCTTAAGGTTGGCAAAACATGTTATCAATGTATTGTGCAGGAGTTTGTCTTTTGCGTAAATAGTCTGTTGGATTGCCACCTACCCTCGACCAAAGAAAAACCAAACCTCACTGGCACCATACTCTAAACCACCTGTATCGTAGGTTAGAAGATTGTGAAAGCCAAAAATCTGTAAGGTTGGAGGGACCCATTAGTTAATCTTTGGGCTTAGAGGAGGAAAAAAAAATAGTCCCATACTGCATTTCACATCTCTTAAAAATAGTTTTAGCAGCTTAAACCTTTTTAGTTATAAAACTTATCACACTAGGATTTGCTTTGAAATGTAGTTTACAACCAAATCAAGTATAATATATATATTATACTGTGCCAGTGTACACTGGCACTTCAGCACAAGGGCACACTTTAAAAACAAATTATTTTGGACCTTTAAAACTAGGCCATACTATAAAAAAACAGTCCACGGTCTTACATTCAGCAAATTCATACTAAAAGATCCCATTTTCGTAAGATAAAGGGCAAGAAAACTTTACATATGCTACAAGTTCATTACAGGTATTTACATGGCCCTTTCTCCCCTAGGTACTTAAAATTTTCACATTATACAGCTCCCAAAAGCCAGCTTTGCAGGAATGATGAGGCCAGATCACTATTAGAATAGTTTTTGCAGTGCTGTAATACAAAAATGTATTTTGAAAGCTATTGAGTGACCATTAAATACTGTTAAAAAATGGTTTTGGTGAATTTGTTGGCAGATACTTAATCCACTACATTTAATAAACGGGGCCATTGGGGTGTACTATGTCTCATTCTAATGAGCTCCAAATGCCCTTTCCACCCACTGTATAATTCACTAAAATACAATTATTCAGAAAAATTCACATCTTCTTTCAGCAGTGCATCAGATTGTTAGCATATTACTGATGTGGGTGTTTCCAGTATGCTAAACTTGCAGATATTTACCTAACTCTGAATCTGATTCACCAACACAGCAATCTGGTCCGTGAATGATAAATTACTGTCTTCCCCTTTCCCCTGACAATAGAAAAAGCTGATTCCTTTACCACTCCCCAAATCGAAACTTGGCTGGTTTCCCCTTAAAAGGTACTCAGTTGAGAACACTTAATATCAAGTACAATTATTAATTTAGTTTTAAGTTGCACCGATACTACCAATACATCACAGTGCACACACACATATGTGAGATGCAGTCTATATTTTTTACATTAATTAGCAGTTCTACACAAATAGATTAACTCCCTGGCGAATTTGTTTCAGACCAGTTGACAACTATCCATAAACATAACTAAATTTAAGCATAAGTACTTTGTCTTATTTTATACCTGTACTTTAAGTAAGGTTTTGAGTTGAAATGTCATTATTTCCTTGTCTGAAGGATTAAAGGAAACAGGGACCCAGTGGCTTGGTGGTTTGGGAGGAACACTTGGTGATGGCGGCTCACTAAATTTGGCACCAGCATAGTTCTGATTAGCTTGAGATTTAAAAAGTAAGCTGGGACCTGATAAGCTAGAGTTCCAACTTTGATTATTTGGAAAATTTTTGTCCTTTCCCCCGTTTTGCATGGCCTGCCAAGCAGCTGCAGATGAGTTATAACCACGTCCTCTTTCTTTTTTCTTATGAACAATCTTCATCTGGGAATTCTGATCCTTGGTCTTCTGTCTGTTAAGCTGTTGTTGGTTCTTACTATCATTTCTAGATTGACAGGCTGGAATGTTATACCTCTCTCCACCACCCATCTTCAGCTTCTTTGTCACCTTTCAGTCTGCTTTTCAGATTGCAAGATTTCCAATACCTGTCCTCTTCCTTGCTGCCAAGCCCAAGATAACAAGTGTTGCTTTCTGACAGATCCTTTCCTTTGTCTCAATACAGAAGTTTTCATGGGCCAATCCTGAGTTCACCCTAAGAGCTGAGGCCCACATCTGAGTCTCCTCAGTACACAAGTTCGAGAAAAGTCCTAGCGACTTCAAGTTCAGAACTACAGCGGCAGCGGCTCCCTCTCGACGTCGAAGCCTCCCTCCCTTTCCAGGGAGAGACAAGGCACAGACCGACAAAGCCCACGAGCACCGATGAGCGCGCTGCCGGCCACTCCACCTTCTACAACCCGACCTCCTCCTCCTGCCTCTACCGACCAATAAAATCTTTTTTCCAATCTCTGCTTTTTGATTAGAGTATGTAGTCGATTTACATTTAATTAATTAATGATAAGTAGGAGTAACATCTGCCATTTTACTGTTTGTTTTCTACTTTTTTATGCCTTTTGTTTCTACATTTCTCCATTACTGCCTTCCTTTGTGTAAAATAGATATTTTCTGATACAGTATTTTAATTCTCTCATTTCTTTTACTATATTTTTGAGTTTTCTTTCCTAGTGGTTACCCTGGGAATTACCACTAGCAACTTACTTCATACAAGACAAGTCCCTTCTCTGTCACTGCTTTAAGATTCTCTCTTTGTCTTTGTCTTTCAACAGTTTGATTATAATGTAACTCAGTGTGGATCTCTGTATCATACTTGGAGTTTATTAAGCTTTTTAAATGTGTATGTTAGTGTTTTTCATCAAATGTAGAGAGTTTGGGCCATTATTTCATCAAGTAGTCTTTCTGAAGCTTTCTCTCACCTCTCCTTCTGGGATTCCATTATCCATATGTTGATATACTTAATAATGTCTCACAAATTTCTAAACATTTTTTTCTGCCTGTTTTTTCTTTCTGTTCCTCAGACTGGATAATCTCAATTGACCTATCTTCAAGTTTGTTGATTACTTTTAGCCTGCCTGATTAAATGTGCTACTGGGTGCCTCTGGTTTATTTTTCAGTTCAATTATTCTAGCTTTCAACTCCAGAATTACTATTTTTTAAATAATTTTGACCTATTTTTATTCTATATTTGGCAAAACACAGTTATCATTTGATATGGTTTGGCTCTGTGTCCCAACCCAAATCACATCTCAAATTGTAATCCTCACATGTCAAGGAAGGGACCTGGTGGGAGGTGACTGGATCTTGTGGCAGTTCTCCCCATGCTGTTCTCATGATACTGAGGGAGTCCTCAAGATATATGATGGTTTTATAAGTGTGTGACGGTTCCTCCATTGCTCTCTCTCTCTCTCTTGCTCACTGTCCTGCCACCCCGTGAAGAAGGTACCTGCTTCCTCTTCTGCCATGATTCTAAGTTTCCTGAGGCCTCCCCAGTCATGAGGAACTGTGAGTCAATAAAACCTCCTTTGTTTATAAATTACCCAGTCTCGGGTAATATCTTTATAGCACTGTGAAAACAAACTAATCCATCATTCTTTGCTTCAACTCTTCAGACATAGTTTCCTTTAGCTTTTTGAACATAAGTTAAATAGCTAATTTTAATCTCTGTATTGTAAGCACAATATTTGGGTCTCTTAGGACCAGGTTCTATCGGTTGCTTTCCATGTGTGTATATGGGACATAATTTCACGTTTCTTTACATGTCTCATAATTTTATGTTGAAAATTTGACATTAAAATAATATATTATTGCAAGTCTAAAATTATAGTCTTCCCTGCCTAATTTTGTTATTGCTGTTTGCTGTTAAATGTTGTTTTTATTTATTTCATGACTTTTCTGAACTAATTCTATAAAGTATGTATTTATTTTTTGAGACAGATAGAATCTTCCTCTGTCACCCAGGCTGGAGTGCAGTGGCGTGATCTTGGCTCACTGCAACCTCTGCCTCTGGAGTTCAAGCGATTCTCCTTCCTCAGTCTCCCTGAGTAGCTGGGACTACAAGCTTGTGCCACCATGCCCAGCTAACTTTTTGTATTTTTAATAAAGACAGGGTTTCACCACATTAGCCAGAATGGTCTTGATCTCCTAACATTGTGATCCACCCACCTCGGCCTCCGAAAGGGCTGGGATTATAGGTGTGAGCCACCACGCCCAGCCATGTACTGTTTATTCTCTATGGTCATGGGAGTATCAATTAGCTTAGTGATTGGACATCTAATGACCGAACAGAGATTTCCTTAAATGCTGGAACCAATAAACCTCTAAATCTTTATTATGGGTTACTATATATATATGTTGGATCATACCTGTAACACTCAGCCAGGCAGTTCACAAGGCGGTTTTAGCCTTTGCTTTCTGCTTGTGCAGAACCTCAAGGTCACCAAGAAATGAGAGCTTAGGTCTTCTCAGGTCTTTCTTCAGAATGCCCACAGGCCTACATATGCCCTTGACCTTCCAGATTTTCAGGAACATGTCAGAGCATTTCAAAGCTTCTATTGACAACTTATTCCTCAGCTTTTCCCTGCAAACTTTTGGTTAGTCTATTGTTTGCACTATCATCCATCTCATGCAGCCTCACAAAGACTTGCCTAAAATTATTTTCAAATACCTCCTAACCCCTGGGAGAGACTTTTTACACTTGGCAAGTTCAAGCCACAACAAGTAAAGATGTACCTTTTCTGTGGAGACTTCTAAGGATAGAGACAAATAATGTCAGCTCTTTGGGACTGAGGCTTTGAAAGAACGCCAGCTCTGTTCGGATCCCTCAACACTGGAATGCAGTTGTTATTTTTCTAGGCTATTGCTGAGCTAAAGAGTGGGAGACAGGCCTAGGGTAAGTTAAAATGTCATAAAGATTACAGTTCTTACCAAGATTCAGCTATTTTTCTTGAATAAATGCTCCCTGGATGGCTGAAAGTCTTTGGTTAATGCCGAGAGAGTTGAAAAAAACGGATTCTGCTTTTGTTTGCCAGTTTTTTTATTGCTCTTATGAAGGAGCAAAATTTTGGATGTTCTTAATCTGCCATTTTTACTGATGTCACCTGTTTTAATGTTTTGTTTTTATTACCTACACCGTACAAAACTAGCCTCACAGCACTATGTTGATAAGGTGGAAGAAGAAGACATTTTAAAAACATTTTATTAAGCTCAGAATATTCATTTTTAACTTTCATTCAGAGTAATGTAAGTTAATTCTAAATTCATCTTCTACTATTCATAGTAGCCAGATTCAATAATTTAGTCTTTTTATAGTTCCATTTAAATTATCTTTTGATTCATGGATCCATGAATTTTCTGTGCATTGTCTTCTCCTGATAGAAAACAAAAATTCACAATATTTTTTCAAATTTAAAGATATTTGGTGATAAATTTTAACGGTGCAATATCAATATCCTGACCAACTCTGTGGTCAATTATGGAGCATGTCACAGTAACTTACAGGAACTCTGTTCTTTCAAGCATCCAGGTTTCATTTTGTGCTTTAATTTTGTGTAGCACTGGAAAACATGTTGCCTTCCTTCCCTGCAGAGGAGTGTGAACCCCAAAAATTTGAGCCAGGTCTCAGTTAATTTAGAAAGTTTATTTTGCCAGGGTTGAGGATGCACCCACGTGCGTCAGGAAGTCCTGATAACATGTGCCCAAGGTGGTCAGGGAATAGCTTGGTTTTGTACATTTTAGGGACACATGAGACATGACTCGATATGTAAGAAGTATATTTTTTCCACCCAGAAAGGTGGAGACAGCTCAAAGCAAGCCTCACTCCCCTCCTACGGGCTCTTCCCCTGCACTGGGGGCTTTCAGGTCACAGGTAGGTGAGAGACAGATGGTTGCATTCTTTTGCGTTTATGATAAGTCTTTTCAAAGAAGGCAATCAGACTATGCATCTATCTCTGTGAGCAAAGGGATGACTTGAAGCGAATGGGAGGCAGGTTTGCTCTGAATGGTTCCCAGCTTGAAAGGACCCAAGGTATTTTCCTTTCACATTTCCTCCTTTTCTTTTTAAAAATCTTTTGGAGAAACCATTTTACAAGAAATTCATTTTACAACAAAAAGAATCTTTGGTCTCAGGTTTCATCTGATCTCTCATGGCTAGGATGGTTTATTCCTAGATGGGTAGGTCTGGAAAGCTTATTTTTAGCAGGTTGGGAAGTCTCCTGTCAGGTGAAGAGAAAATAGAGGGGAGGAAGGGAGGAAAAATAAAAACAGAAGAACAATCCAGGCTGGGAGTGGTGGCTCCCGCCTGCAATCCCAACATTTTGGGAGTTGGAGGCGGGCAGATTGCCTGTCAGGAGTTGGACACCAGCCTGTCCAGTATGGCGAAACCCCATCTCTACTAAAAATACAAAATTTAGGGTGGTGGTGGGCTCCTGTAATCTCAGCTACTTGGGAGGTTAAGGCAGGAGAATTGCTTCAACCCTGGAGGCAGAGGTTGCAGTGAGTCAAGATTTCACCACTGCACTCCATCTCAAAAAAAGGAAAAGAAAGAAAATGATGGCTTATATATGTAAACAAGTTACTGTTATTTTCTTCCAAAATTTAAGTTGTCTGGCTTCAGTTCACAGAATTAAAACACACACACACACACACACACACACACACACACACCCCTACCTTAGTTTTCAGTGACTCCAAATTAGGAAAATGAAAAAAAGAAGGGAAAAAAATGAAAACATTATTTTGAAGACTTGCAGACAAAAAAATTAGAATTCGATCCAAGCTGTAGAAAATACTGAAAATTGGGGAAAAAAAAAATTAGGCAAGGCTAGAATCTAACAATAGGTGTACAATCATTTTGAAACAATTTTTCTCTCTCTCCAGTTTCTCATTTTACTAAAGACAAATCATGGAAGGGCTGGTTTGCTTATTATACTTGGCCTACATATTTGTATGCAGTGCAGTAAGAATAATTATTTTTTTTAATATAGGCTTTTAAATTGGCTTTGATGGAATTTTGTTCCATAAGAGGAATCTCAGATAAGACTTCTTGGTCAGGCACGGTGGCTCAAACCTGTAATCCCTGCACTTTGGGAGGCCGAGGCCAATCACAAGGTCAGGAGTTCAAGACCAGCCAGGCCACAATGGTGAAACGCCACCTCTCAAACTACAAAAAATAAGCCAGGTGCGGTTGGCGGATGCCTGTAATCTCAGCTACTCAGGGGGCTGAAGCAGGAGAATCACTTGAGCCCAAGAGGTGAAGATTACAGTGAGCCTAGATAGCACCACTCCACTTTAGCCTGGCTAAGTGACAGAGCAAGTCTGTCTCAAAAAAACAACAAAAACAAAACAAAACAAAAAAAACTGTCAGTAGCCCGAAAGAAAAGTTTTAGGACTCTGAAAAACAAAACAAAGGATCAGCAAATGTATTAA